CATATGACAGAAGATTATTCTCTATAAAGAGGAAAACTATACATCACAATAGATTTTCATCTGACTGAGTAGCCTAATCTATTTATTACTATTCAAGAAAAGCCATCATTTTGGTCCAACTTTTGGTCTACCACTGCGCGAGTCATGAATTCAAATAATTCCAACAAATGTTCCCAAAACTAAAAGCAATTTAAATTCATAAGAATACGAACTTGGAAAACACAAAAAGAGAGGGAAAAAACTAACTCCAATTCACATAATTGCCGCAAATTTCAAGTCCGGCTAGTCTTTATTTGTATCTACATCGAGTAAACAGTTACTTCCTTAACCCGCTACACAATCAAACCCAAATCCAGCTTATTATCATTTCTATCCCTAGTTAACTACAGATCCGAAAAGAAATAAATTCACATCAATTAAGTCCTCTTGCTTCTGTGGGTCTTGACCTCTCATGTTGTCTTCTTCATCGATCTACTATGAGCATATTAGGGAACTTTGGATTATAATCCACATGATTTATAATCTATTAACCCAAGTGGATTATAATCCAAAGTGGATTATAATCCAAAGTGTCTGGTAAATTTGGTGGATTACAATCTGTTTTCAATAGTAAAGTGTTTAGCAAATGGGTGGATATAATATTAATATATCATGGTTGTCATTTGTCAAAATGATAAAAGAGAACATGGAGTTGGTAGTGAGTTATTAAATGAGGCTTGGATTTTGTCAAATTATGAGGGGTATAATTGCCTTTTACTTGGTCAAACCTCATGGATTATAATCCACCACAAATTGACCTGGTTACCCCAGGTGATTTTTGGTGGATTCTAATCCAAATAATCACTTGCCAAAATATCCAAAAGTTGATTATAATCCACTAATCCAATTTGACCATTTGCTAAACAAGCTTTATGTCTCCACAAGGTGAGACTGATTCCATTTAATTTGTGTGTGGGTTTGTTCAAATATAATGAACTATACTGTTTTGATATTTCAATATAAGATATTATTTTTTGTGAATCGTAATAGATTTATACCAAAATAAGCAGGTGACTGCGATTTTTTTTATTATGCACATACGTGTGCTGTGTCCTGCACGTGATACCGGAAATCTAGTTTATTTATCATGAGAAAAGCCTGCAAAACATGTGACACGAAATCTGAATAACATGTTTCTACCCCAGAATAAATCATGTTATAAACAATCTACCATGATAATCAATCATGTAAATAAGTTTGTGATTCTGAACGGCTCTTGGAAACAGAATTTCTCCCAATTTCACAATATTTCTCTTCAGCCAATTATCAATTTAGAGTACTACAGCCATCAAATGGGAGCATTAAGATAAAAGTAAACAACATATGAAACTGAAATTGAATGTCCACTGGATATTTACAGCACAGTTTGCTTTATTGCAGAGACAATCAAGTGAAAATTTATTACACAGGTATATATGTCAAAAAAACAGATCAACTTACCGTGAAATTAGTGCACTTAACACAATTTAGATTCATCTCAACTAAATAATGGTAAAAACCAGAGTGACGCGTATGAAGAGAAACCGGAGTACCATATATTAACACAATACAAAATTTAGAATGCAAAATGCCCCTGATCAATATATTTGAAAGGTAATCATGTAATTGATTAACATTAAATATGTAAACTGATTAGGATATGGGAAGCATAATACATACCCATAATACCGATCCTTTATATTCTGCTGGGCTAATTCCCCAGTTTCAGGCATCTCATGTCGATATGGACATTCAGCCCCTCGGGTGCATTCACCACGAACGTAGAAACTACAAACATGGGCTCGATTTCTCTTGTAATATGGTGTTGTCCTCTGAAGTTTTAAGATTGTGTCATTCGGACGTTGCTTTCCATATGATGACTCATAATCTATGCCAGCTCTAGCCTGTGAACAGAGACATGACAAAGGTGAGAAAAAGGTAAATGAGCACCTCTGCTGCAAGATTGAGAAATACACAATAAAAGCTTTAAAAAAGCAAGCATGACTGTCTTAATAATCAAAATTAACATCAAATAATAGAACTTTCATGTGCATATGTAAAACAGTTGACATAAAACTAAATCCTCATTACTTGCGTGACCTAGCCCATGGACTGTCATAACTCTCCACCAAAGTTTAATCACCCTCGAGAAATAGAATGGTACAGATGTGTATGCATGTAATTTTGGTACTAGACAATCATAGAATGAATATGAAATCGTGAAATCGTACAACATACACTAATGTACTTGGGACATGGACGTGTTTCAAAACATTAATCTGCTATCATGTCTGGGAGCAATAAAAAATTCAGCAATTAGTGGATTATTCCTGTGATAGTAATTGCAAATATCAAAAGTATTGACTAAGATTAAGAGTCTTAAGATGATAACCCAAATCTAAGGGTTTATAACCATATTGAAAAGAAATACTAACCAATGGGTCAGAAGCTGGGTTTCAAACAATTTTATAATTTATGTCCCAGTCCAATTGAAAAAAATCTTGAATAATGTCATAAAATTGATTTCCCTCCTGAGTTCTCAATCAGGGAAGATAAATTTATGTAAAGGGAAAGATTACGGTTCATCAGGTATGGAAATTAATTTCCAACAGGATGTCTCTTCCACGCATGAAAATGACATGTATGTTGCATTGAGGACACAACTGGCATGTGTGTAGTACGCTGCACGTGCTTGGGACGCTGCCACCCGAGGCACATACCACTCCAAATTAGGATAACACTACCGGAAGCCTAGATTCCAGTCGTATTTACAATTTTCTTTTACTGTGACAATTCTTATCTGCATAATGGGTTCCATCATTCTTCCTTAACTTGGCCTCCTTTCTAAAAATAGACTTGTAGGCATTTGTTAATGTAGTTGTCCTTGAGAACATTTCAAGCCCATTATCAAGTACAACGAACCTTCACCAGCTGCTCACATGAAGAAACAAAGATCTTAGCCTAGCAAGGATGCGTTCTGGAATAAAGTCCTAAAACAACACCTAGCTAAACAAACTCATGGCTATAGTTTACCAATTTCAGGAGCTCTTGAGCCTGCTCAACCCATTCACAGGCTTAAATTTTGTACTGAAGTTCCTATTTTCAAATATGAAAAAGTCGACTCACACATAAAAAAAATATTTTAGAGCAGCTAGAACATCTTTTAGACCAAAGAATTACAATAACACGTACTGAAACAAAGTTACGTTAATTTACTAGTTTCACATTTTTTCATGCTCATTCCAGCTCAACCTCAAGCTTGAGATTTTCTCACTATAAATTTAAAGTTCCTTTGCTAAACATCCTTTACAATAAAAGTGAACAGAAATTTTACAATCCAAACTGGCTGGTAAAATATTCAACTTGAAGCATGTGCTAAACTAGAGCTAAGAACCTACCACAGGTCCCCAACTAATCTTGTCTAACACAGAAAATGAGCTATAGTTAGGATACGTTTTCCTCATACTTTAAAACCATCTAGAAAACTAGTCATTTATTAGGAGCATTTCCACTCCAAGCTGGAAGCTTTCCTGAAACACAATTGCACAGAAACCAACACAAATCACCAACGAGCGAC